TAATTTCTTGTAATGAGCATCAGCAAAAAAAAAAAAACCCTGCACTGTCTGATGATGTGCTGTAAACTTCTGACTCCTGTATTTTATCTTCTCACGATCTCTGCTTGCAAAAAGCAACCCAGTATAGCAAATATGATTCTCCGTGTGGGCTTTGAAGAAGAGGAGGGGGACTGCAATACACTTTCTTATCAAACCACAGATCTGAGTTCCTATCTAGCATCACGTCTGAAAGCATTTAAAAATGTGGTGCAGACTCAGTTTTGTCTCAGACAACTGAAACAGCTCATTATCAAAGCTTGAAGATCAACTTCAGATCGGAAACCATGAGGGCATCTTCTTTGTGTCTGGTGTTCGGGCTGGTCCTGCTGATGGCCTGGACTTCTGAGGCTCAACGTAAGTTCTCTTGAAGTACAGTTTTGCTTCTGACTAAATTGTTATCTACATAAGACATAAAGTTCCACATAAATTTAAAGTGACTAAAATGGATACAGCCAGGTAACATAATGGAATCTTTTGCATGTTTCATTTGTGCATGTTCAAAGAATTGTATATTCTCCTGTAAGCAACAAAACATATATACAGAGCTTAAAAAGAACCCAGAGACAAACCAAAATGCAGATTAACCATCCAGATATGATCCTTCATGGTTCTAGAACGGACCTTTACTTTGAAGGATGAGTAATACCAACTCATATTAAAATGTAACATATTTCATATATGTATATATAATTTTATCTCAGCAAAAGCAGTTGCCCACGCAGTTCCTGAGAGTTGTTGCTTCGATTTTGTCGACTTCCAAATTCCAGCCAAAAGAATTGTGAGTGCTTTGAAGACCGGTTCAAATTGCCCTGTCACTGGCATTGTGTAAGTATTTAACTCTGAAATATATCATTTAGAAAAATTATATAAAATATAAAACAAAATAAAAAATAAACTTATATATACTTTCACCCTCAGGGTTAAAACACCAAGAACGGAATTTTGTGTGAAACCAGACGAGGCTTGGATTCAGAAAGTAATGAAAAAGGGTCAAATATGAAAACTCAAAACATGTGCACAAAATAATACTGTTATTGCTTTATTCAACTGTCCTTTCCTAACAAATGTATTTTTTTGCATCTCCTTATAAATACTGCAAGATATTGAATGTCAAAACTAATTTCATCTATGCAAATAAATATTAAAATGCACTGAGATTACCTGGTGTCAGACTAATTTGAATGTTCAAAATATTAATTATTAGCATAAATAGTGTGAAAGACAGCATGACTGCCATCAGCATAACATCTCATGTTTAATAATGTACAGTTACAAAAATAAAATGGTAGCCTAACATAAAAAAAAAAATCGGCAATTAGACTAATTAAACTAAATACAAACACATATACTACTACTACTAATAAAACACGTTTTGCATAATAACAAACCTGAAAATATATCATTTGTGATCATGGGTATTGCCCTTTACAGTATTTTTAGATATAACCAGTGTTGGGGGTAACGCATTACAAGTAACGCGAGTTGCGTAATCAGATTACTTTTTTCAAGTAACTAGTAAAGTAACGCATTACTTTTTTAATTTACAAGAAAATATCTGAGTTACTTTTTCAAAAAAGTAACTCCAGTTACTTTGTTTTCCCATTTATTGACTGACAAGTCTCCTGTCCCCATATTGGGAGAAATCAGAAGTGCAGAGGAGTTGTGTGCGCTGTGTGAACATGATGTTACTGTAGTTCTAGACTAAATGTGAATTAATTCATCACACTCACAAAAAAACAGATTTAGTATTCATCAAAATGAATTAAAACAGTGAAATGCAAACTCAGAATATATCTAATAAGTATCTAATCCCATTTATTAACCAATGTCTTTGCTGCTGACCTTTGATGATCCAGTTCAACCATACTAATAAGCAAAAATGACTTTAGATAAACTACAATTGTGCTTCATTTTTTTTTTTATTGCTGAAGAGTGTTGAACCTTCTCCTGCTTTCTACTGTACAGACGTGAATTTACTTTTCCTTCAGCCTGAGGTTTATTCATTACACTTTTTGGTGTGAAAGGGCTTTTACATTTGCTAATTTACTTTTCCTTCAGCCTGAGGTTTATTCATTACACTTTTTGGTGGGAAAGGGCTTTTACATTTGCTATAAATAGAACTTCTTATGTTAAAAACAATCAAGCCCTGCTCATATTTAAAAAGTAACGCGAAAGTTACGCAAAAGTAATGTAACGCATTACTTTCCATAAAAAGTAACTAAGTAACGTAATTAGTTACCTTTTTAGGGAGTAACGCAATATTGTAATGCATTACTTTTAAAAGTAACTTTCCCCAACACTGGATATAACTAATTTAGGTTGAATAACCAAGCCCTGATCGGATGAGCCCCAACAGCTAAAAGCCCAAGTCCTATCCATTAAGAGGAACTGCTCTCGGCTCAGTTTAAGAATATGTTTAGAGACATATCTGTATTGCTTTTTGGATACATTCAACCAGATTTGCTTGTGGTTGTAGGTCCAGGAAACTCAGTAGTGGTGGGCGTTTAAAACAGTGGGTATCAAACCTCAGATCTGAGTTTATAATCTGAGAAAATATTTGAAGTGTGAAGCAGACTGTAATTCACTTAGATTTCTCCAAAAGCTCATCAAAGCCTGCAGATCGACTTCAGATCAGAAACCATGAGAACATCTTGTGTTCTGGTGTTCGGACTGGTTCTGCTGATGGCCTGGACTTCTGAGGCTCAAAGTAAGTTTAAATGAGTTATTTGCGTATTTATAAAGGTGTACACAATTTACAGTAACACAAGGATACAGTTGTTCTGCAGAGAAATCAATCATATTTAGTATAAAATTTGTTGTTGTTGTTTTGTTTAACCAACAGCTCAAGCTTTTCCAGTCTCTGAAAGGTGTTATTTCAGTTTCATAGACATATACATTTCACACAATATTATTTTTTTTCCATATTTTCTCACAAAAATGTTAACAAATATTGAATGTGAACTTTTTCCTTCAGGGTTTCAACATCTATAGGCAAATTTTGTGTGCAACTAGACAGTGCTTGGAGAAACGTGAGCTTTATCATTGAAAATGCAGCATTTGTATCCAAAATAACGTTTAATGTTCAGAACCATTTCCTTTCTAACTAGTTCCATTTTTTGTCTCGTCATTGACAGAACCGGCAAACCTTACATCACCTAATCTCCAAAATATATCCTTGCAAACCGCCCAACCAGCCCTCTGCCAATACCCATGTCAGTAAATGACCACCAACAACCACCCTACCGAAGAAAACAGATCCAACCCCAAAGACAACCACCCCAACAACCACCCTACTGAAGAAAACAGATCCTACCCCAAAGACAACCACCCCAACAAGCACCCTACTGAAGAAAACAGATCCTACCCCAACAAGCACCCTACTGAAGAAAACAGATCCTACCCCAAAGACAACCACCCTACTGAAGAAAACAGATCCTACCCTAACAACCACCCTACTGAAGAAAACAGATCCTACCCCAACCACCCTACTGAAGGAAACAGATCCTACCCCAACAAGCACCCTACTGAAGGAAACAGATCCTACCCCAAAAAGCACCCTACTGCAGAAAACAGATCCTACCCCCAACCACCCTACTGAAGGAAACCGATCCTACCCCAACAAGCACCCTATTGAAGGAAACAGATCCTACCCCAAAAACCACCCTACTGATGAAAACAGATCCTACCCCAACCA